GGATGTGTGTTTATCGGTGTGCATGTTTGGGGGACAATGTGTACCCCTCTGTGTGTAAAACGCACCTACTTCCTAAAGCAGAAACACTTGGGGGGGCAGTTATTTGGGGTTAGTGCCCGCGCCCCCTTTTGCGGGTGGCTGATGGCAGCGAGCATTTTCCCGGGAGGGCTCTATCCGAGGCGGTGAGTGTGAATGCGAAATGCAGAGCATGTGTGGGGTTCAGGTAAGTGTCTGGGTGATACGCACCTGCTGGTGCGCAAAGAACAGATGTCTAAGTCTATAGGAAGGCCGCCTCCTGCGGCTCTCTTCCTCTCCAAGTTTGGGCTCTGGACTCCATCCAGATCGCTCAGCTCCCAGGGCCTTCCGGGAAGTGCGGGAAGTGCGGTGGGGATGAAGAGCAAGAGAGATGGGCACAGGCAGTCCCAGCCCTGCATTTTGGCAAACACAAGACAGAGGGGCAGGGCAGCTGTGTGGCAGTTAAGGGTCCGGGTTGGGGCTGAGGATGTCAAACCCACAGTCTAGGATTTGGAGGTACCTGATGGGTAAGGGGATGCAAAACCTTCTGTGCATGCAGGGCCAAGTTAGCACTCTCCCCAATCCCCTTTTCTGTTCCTACCGTTTCAGTTTCAGAGGAGTTGGGCGGAGGAGGCTTGGCTGCCAGATTGAAAGCAAAACAGCCTTTTTTGAGGACTCTGGCACTTGGGCACACATGTGGGAGGGAATACCCCAGGAGCACAGAGATTCAAAGGGAATGTTTCAAGGGCCCTCACTCCTCCTCCTTCACTACTCCTCCGATGCTATTTCTGCTGAAGTCCTTTTAGAACCCACGATTAAGGTTCAACCTCCCTGGGGGTCCAGGCAGGAGTAGGAGATGCTGGAGTTCAGGCATCAAGGAAGTGGGAGAAACTCTGGACCCTCCAAATTCCCCCAATGTGCCTCCAGTTTCTAGACGTATCCGCCTTCTCTTGGGCACTCCTTCTCCCAACAATGACCTCAAGGCAAGCAAAAGAGGGAGCGGATGCCCCCCACCTCCAGAAACTGAGTAGAGAGGTGGATGTGTGACGCACTAGGAGGAGCTCGGTTAGTCCTCTGATTGGTTGTTCTTGGCCACTTAGGATTGGCGGAGCAGGCGGGGGACCCCCTCCTTCCGGATATCGCTGGAATAAATGCCTTGAGGCTCCGGCGAGAAGGCACCCACAGCAGGTGTCGTGTTCTCGTGGATCCGTCGCTCTTCAGTGCTGAAACTCGAGTTACCAGGTGAGAAACTTCTCATTCTGCTTACTCTGATATTCTGCCTCTCTCCATTAATTCCTCTACTTTGCTCCACCTGCCTGCCTGCTTCTCTTTCGTCTCTCCGCCATTTCCGCTTATCCGCAGCTCGGTGGTACTACTCTCTTCTCGCTGGGGGTGAAGCCGTGCTGTTTAGGGCTGTCCAGGCATTTTCTCCTAACTAGAGCGGGTGGAACCCCCGGCACCCAGAGAGCTCCGCATGGGCGCTGGGAGCTGGGCAAGTTCAGGTAGGGGTGTGTGTGACTTCTGCGTTTGGAGCGCGTCAGCGGGCAGGGTTCTGTAGGAGTTGGTCCAGGTCTGTGTCCTTAGTGATCACGTTTGGTACCCGGGAAAGAGGAGCCCTAAAATTTTTCCTTTGAGGCGTCTCCAGCTCACAAGTGTTCCAGGGACGTGACACCAGATGTGGGGCAGTGCTGTCAGCCTAGGGGCGGGCACCTAGCGCCGGCTGCAGATTTGCACTCCTGCAGTCCTGAGGCACCTGTAACTGATGCGTCAAAAAAAAAAAAAAAATCCCCCTATCCAAATCCTCAGACCGAGTGTCCCTTTCCAATTCACCCTTCCAGCCCCTTCCCCCCACGCTTGGGCTGGACCGCCAGCAGAGAAGGCGGTCTTAAAACTTCAGTCAGTGAGACGACAAGCACAACGAGGGCAAGTGTACAGCAGCAGGGTGTGTCCGCTCATGGTTTCTTAACGTAACAGGGCAAAATGTGTGCATGTGGGCTTCTCTGTCCTACCAGGAAACAGAACCCAACGCCTCTCACCCCGCCCCTCCACTTGCCTGTGCTCTATCAAACCACTGACTACCACTTTTGAGATTCACAGCAGCCTTCTGGCAAATAAAGGAACAGAGGCACCAGGAGGTGAAGTTACCTGCCTGAGGTCACATGGCAGTTGTGGCAAGAACAGGACTGGAAGCTAGGTTTGTGGTCCTGGTGCAGTAATAACGTCATTCTCCTTTTACAGAGAGGCGTCATGGTCTTTTGGAAATTCTCACCCTTCCTAGCTGTCAGCATCTTGGTCCTATGCCAGGCAGTCAGCCTCCCAGCAGCACCATTCAGGTGAGACATCCTGAAACCCGGTGCACACTCCTCTCTCACTGCCCCAGGGATCAGACAGCTCTAAGCCTTAAGAGTCAGTGTGGTTCCCCATGAATCAGCATCCTCAGGTAGAAACTGGCCTCATTCCCAGTTCACTGGGAGGAAGGGTGGCTATATCCTTAGGGGAGGAAGCAGGTATCAGGAGCCTGGCTGCCTGGGAGGGGGCAGGCAGGGGCTCAAAGGTTGCACTGGGTTTGTTTCCCCTTCACAGGTCTGCCTTGGAGAGCATTCCAGACCTGACCGCACTGGGCGAGGAGGAAGCACGCCTCCTGCTGGCTGCACTGGTGAAGGACTATGTGCAAATGAAGGCCAGTGACCTGGAACAGGAGACAGGGGGCTCCAGGTAAGACTCCCCACCTGGCCCTGACATACGGAGGAGGACCTCCTCCAGAGAGGTATGAAAAACTCACCTGCCCAGGAGTCCATCGGGCTGTCCTTATTCAGCTGGCCGTGGGACTCAGCTGCTCTCAGGCTCCATGGAAAACAGAGATCCTGGTGGAACTGGAGGGACTGTGGTTTGATGCATTAAAAAGATCAATTTCTGAAAGTAATGGGGAATGGAATGAAGAGTGTGGAATCACTGACTAGGGAAGTTGGTCTTTCAGAACTGGGAGACATCCCAGAACTGGATATTAGGAATAGTAAGTGTGAAGCCAGAGGATGGAATCTGTATCCCTGGTTTTAGAAATGTCACCTGGGTATGTTATTCTTTCTTCCTGCAAGGAGTCTTCATTTCTCCCTTGCAAAATGAAGGTGAAGGGCTTTGGGGGGATGGGGACAGATAGCTCCATGTCTGAGGTAGGTTGGGGATATCTAGAGAGATGTGCATGTTGTCACAAAGCCAGGGAGAGCACCCTTCCCTAGATCTACCTGCCTGTGTACCCTGATCTTGGAAAAGAGACCAACCCTGGCCTGACCCCAGCACTGCCATAGCAGAGGCATGTATTGACCTGCATCCACCCAGAGAAAGCTCTGCCAAGCAAGCTTGAAGGTCTGCACAGCATGTGGAATGCCAGAAAAGGTCACCCTTCCTTACCACTGCCCTGGCCCACTGCACCTCTGAGTCCTCCTAATGGAGGATTGTGAGCTTCCCCCACCCTCATCCACATCTCCTGTCCCCCTCATAGTTCCCCTGTCTGGTCTAACCTTCTGCTGACTGTCCACAAGGAACGGTCCTGGTGCATGGTTCTGTCTGGCATGTCTTTTTCCTGTGGCTTGGAGCTAAGCAATGCAGTAATCTGAATATCTGCACATTGGGCACATACTGGCAGGATCTGAACAACTTTCATATCTTCTGTGGCATCAATTTTGGGCTTTAAACACCTGGCAATAAAAGGGATTTAGCCAAAAAATTTGCAGAGGGACAGCTACCTTCACTTTGGGAGTACCCAGGATGCCAACTGAGCTCCTCCCACTCCTTCCTGATTCCCTTTCTTGTTCCCCTTTATGAACTTTATGCATGTGGATTCCTCTCTGAATGTTCTTCAAGCTGATATTAGTAGCTTTGCTTATGACACAGTATGTTGGGGACCTCAGGATGGAAAGGGAGAGAACAGAAGTCATAGATTTGAGGTAAGAGACAGCAGGTAAAGCTTAAGCCCTCAGAGAATTTTGTAGCATAGCTTTCCAGTTCTTGCTTATGCATATACTAAAATAAGCACATGCCTCATGCTCCACCATTTGACAAATGAATTTATTTTTCTAAAAGAACCTGAGCTTTAGTGGTCTTTGCTGTGGGCCATGGCCAAGGCTTATGATGTCCAGTGCCTTGGCTTAGATGGAGCCTTAGCTTTAGAGCAGCTGGATATAGGGCTTGGTGGGTGATCTCTGTGATCCAGCTGTAGCAGGTAAGAATTTCTGGGACAGGATGCTGCAAACCAGGTCCTCTGAGCTTATTTAAGGTAAGACTTTAGGGAAATTTCATTTTCCTATGGAAAGTGGTTTTGTTGCTGCTATGGTTGGGGTATGGTCTCTATATATGCCTTGAGTGTTTTGGGGTGGGGCTGAGCCTTGCCATTTATGCCTCTTGAATGATAAATGCAGGGTTTCAGTATGTACCCCATAGCTGGGAACTCTTTTTGGTGATGTTTTTTGGGCAGAGCTCCTACCATGGCTGCCAGGCCATTTCCCCTAACAGCTTTGATAATTGCACTTAGGAGAAATGCTTATTGTTAAGTGGTATATCTAAGGGCTGCAGTTCTCTTTGTGAAGGTCCCACAGGGTGGGCTCCTCCCCCAGCCCTCACTGACAGGCCTTCTCTTCTCTCTCCATCCTGCAAACCAGTGCCACTGCCCAGAAGAGAGCCTGCAACACTGCCACCTGCGCGAGCCAGAGGCTGGCAGGCTTGCTGAGCAGGTCAGGGGGTGTGGTAAAGGACAACTTCGTGCCCACCAATGTGGGTGCCCAAGCCTTTGGCCGGCGCCGTAGAGACCTTCAGGCCTGAGCAGCTAGAGGGCCCAGGAAGAAGGTGAGTGCCCTGTGCTTTGGGAGAAGAGAAGGAGGAGTTTGGAAGTTGGGGTTCGCATTTTGAAACCTGCTCATTCTGCTAGGTTCTTCAGGTCCTTTCTCTCCAGTTCCATCCTTCCTTCTGACATAGTAAATTCCTTCTAGAACTGAGCATGAATTCAGAATGCTGAGACAGGCTTCCGAGATGCAATGTTATTTTTCTGAGAAAAGAAATGAAGAAAATTCTGGATTCAGAAAGGGAGGGGGGGGCCTTCAAACCTTAACCAGGACCAGTCCTCACCAAGGAGCCCCGGGTTCAAACGGGGCTCATTCCTTGGTCAGTGTTCACAGATTCAGACCAGGAAGCTCTAGTCACACTGCCATCAGTATTAATAGTGATTATTGAATTATTTTTATCTTTATTTCTCTTGCAAGCATGCAAATATCTCATAACCATAATTCATAAATGTTGTTTAGGGAAATAATCACTTTTGTAAATTAGTGGGTTTCTTTTTCAGTGATCATTGTAGTTATTCACTTCTTGTCTTTCTCCTCTTTTCCTTATCTTTCTCCTCCTATTCACCCCCTCTCCTTTTCCTCCTTCGTTTTCCTTCTCCTCTTCTTTCTCTTGTATTTTTCTGTTTTTTTCTTCTCTCATCTCAGGTAACCATGAAGCTGAACTCACCACTTCTATTAATTTCTGTTGACAACAACTGGGTGGGAAGGCCCCATGGAAGATACACACGTTTGCATCTAGAAGCACCATTTGTCACTTGAAAGGAATGAAACTGAATGCAAAATAAGCTAATTCCATATTTGTTGTGCATCATTTTTATATTTAATGCTATGTTCAGTAAATGTGATGGCATTTCCCATTGGCTTATGTAATAGCAAATTGGTTCTTTGAGGACCATCCTGTTGATCATGGTAGCTCTGCCAAACTAGGACACGAAATCACTGCCTCTTGTAGCCTCTGGGAACCCAGATGGTAAAGTGATGTTGTGCCTTGTTGTCTAAGAACATGATTGTGCAGTTTGTTTAAGGAAATGTCAAAATTGTGTCATTTGTGAACTTCATCAAGATTAAAAACATATTTTCGATACATTTGTTTCAAGACCCTGGTGGTTCATTTCAACTATTTTTTCTATGTAATAACAGTAAGGGAAATAATACTATTTTTGAGAGCTTTCTATGGACCAGATGATGTTCTAAGACAGTGCTTTATACCTGTGAATTCACTTACTCTTCACAACAGAGCCATAGGGTAGATACTGTCACTCCATTTCACTTCTGAGGAAATCCAGGAATGGAGAAGTGAAGTCCAAGATCACGCTGATACCCAGTGGCAGACCCCAGTCTTGGTTTCTAGAGCTGACAGCTGAAAACACCATGATATATGCTTTTCAATATTGGTTCTAATGTTTCCCAGAGACCTGTGAGTCATTCTTTGGCCTATATGCTTGACATGGTAGACCTTCAGATTTTAGAGACACCTGCTGTTAGGATTTGGATCTTAATGTCCTCCCAAAGATCAAACCTTGATGGCTTGGTCCTTAATGCTGTAGTGTTCAGAGATAGGGCCTTTTAGAGGTGATCAGGTCATAAAAGCTCGGACCTCCTCAATAGTTTAAACCATTGATGGATTTATACAATAGTGTGTGTGTGTGTGTGTGTGTGTGTGTGTGTCTTTGTCATAAAAACATGCTGTCTCCTTGCTTCCCAGCTGTCACTGGGTGCACTCCCCACCAGGATGTTTTGCCTCATCCCAGACCCAGAATCGATAGAGCCAAGTGATAATGGATTGAAACCAAGAGCCAAAATAAATCTTTTCTCCTTTTAAGCCATTTATCTCATGTATTTTGTCACAGCAATGGAAAGCTGACTGCATCATATGGAAAATTTTAAACGTACCAACAACTTAATTTATATAAAGATGAATTTTTGTATCCACTATTTGACTGCAAGAATAATTAGTGATCAATGTTCTTACATTTCTCCTACCCCCTAGTATGTTGCCATATCAATACATCCATAAATATTTCATCCTGTATTTCTAAATGGGAAGGACTCTTTAAAAATATCTAAAAATCCCATTTAAATCCTATTTGCAACTAAGATTAACAATGATTTCTTAATTATTTAATGTCACATATCCCCTCATGGCTCCAATTCCCCAACTATTATATACACCCACATATGTGTGCGTGCGCGTGCGCGCGCGCGCGTGTGTGTGTGTGTGTGTGTGTGTGTGTGTGTATAAATCTGGTCTTATATTGAGACTTAAATTTGTCTAAAGGCTCATCTAATCTAGAAGTCCCTCCTCTATATTTTATCCTCCTTGCAGTTGATTTGTTGGAGAGACTAGGTTAAATATCTAGTGGTTTCTCAGCATTCTGAATTTTGATGACAGCATTCCTGAGGTGAGGTTTAACATGGGTTTTTCTGTGAATTTAGCAGTCAGGCCTATGGTGAATGAAGGAGAAGAGAACAGGAGATGAGTCTGAGAGGAAATGGGGAGGACAAATCTTGTAGAATTTTGTAAGGCACAGGAAAGGCTTTGGCTTTTATATCTAGCATATATTAGAGTCTTTTAAAAAATTCAATTGAGCTTTAATGTCTTTTAGTTGGTGATTAATGTAATTACTGATTTATTTGGATTTAAGTTTACCCTTTTGTTATCTGTTTTGTTTGTGCCTACTCCTTTTTTTGTTCTCTCTTTCCTGCTTCTTTTTGTTTGACTATGTAAATTTTCTAATCAAAATTTAGAGAGTATTCCACTAAGTTATCTGATGGCCTTGGGCTTTATCACTTTATTCTTATTCTTTAATGATTTCTCAAGGAATTGCAACCTAACTTTTCATAGTCTACTTAGAGCTGACATTTAAATAAAGCATAGAAGCCTTATAGTCTAGAGGACTCTTTATCCTTCTCTGTTCAGTGGTATATGTTTCATGTGTATTACATCTAGAAACATTGACAGCCCCCAATAGACAAAGTTGCAAATTTTCTTTTCAGTAGTCATCATATTTTAAAGGAAATTAGTTTACTATATTCACTAAGATAATTGCCATTTTGGTTCCTGTTCTTCCCGGCAACGGCAACAAGATCTTTTAGTTGTTCTTCATTTAATATATCTTTTATTTTTACCTTTATTCTTTTGAAATTGACATATACTTTCCACATAATAAAATCCACTCTTTTAAAGTATACAACTTAGTTATTTTTAGCATATTTTCATGGTTGTGCAGCTTTTCACAGCTAACTTTAAACATTTTTATAACCTCCAAAAGCAACTTCAGATTCATTAGCACTTATTATTTCTCCCTCCACAATACTCTGGCCACTACTACTCAACTACTCTACATTCTAACTCTTCAGATTTGTCTGTTTTGAATATTTTATATAAATGGAATCATGTAGATTTCTGTGTCTGACTTCTTTTACTTAGCATAACATTTTTCAAGGCTCATTTATGTTGAAACATGGATCAGGACTACATTCTTTTTGTGGCTGAATAATATTCCATTTATAGATATTCCACATTTTGCTCATCCATTCACCAATTGATGGAACAGTTTTTTCTATTTTTTGGCTATTATGAATAATGATTTTATGAAATTTATATGCAAGTTTTTGGGTGGACATGTGTTTTCAATTCTATGTATCTAGGAGTGAAATCACTGGGTAAAGTGATAACTCTTTGCTAACTCTTCTAAGGAACTCCAGAATACTTTACAAAGTGACAGCAACCTTTTGCATTTCTACCAGAGGGTATGAGATTCTAATTTCTCTACATTTATCAACACATGCTTGTCTTTTTGATTATAGCCACTCTAAGGGTTATAACATGATGTTTCACTGGGTTTGATTTACATTTACCTAATATCCAATGATGCTGAATGTCCTTTTTTGTGTGCATATTGAGTACTTGCACATTTTTGTAAGAAATGTGTGTTCAAATCCTTATTGCTTTTTTATTGTTTTTATTATAGATTTGTAAGTTCTTTATATATTTTGGATGCTAGATCCTGAGCAAATAAATTATTTGCAACTTTCTTTCCATTCACTTTTTTAGTAGTGCCCTTTGAAGCACAAAGTTTTAAATTTTGATGAAGTCCAATTTGTATTTTTGAGGGGAGAAAGTATCTTTGCATATATTGCTTAATTCAACGTCATAAGAATTTACCAACAATTACTTTTAAGAATTGTATAGTTTTACCTTTTAAATTTAGGTTTCTGATCTTTTTCCAGTTAACTTTTGTCGACAGTGTGAGGCAGAGGTGAAAATTCATTCTTTTTGCAAGTGGATATTCATTTGTTCCAGCGTAATTTATTGAAAAGGTGATTCATTGCTGCATTGAATTGCCCTAGAAACTTTGTTGGGAATCAATAAAGCATAAATGTTTAAACTTATTTTTGGACTCTCCACTTTATTCCATTGAGGTTTATGTCTGTCCTTTACCAATACTGCCCATTTCAAATCACTGGAATGTTGTAGTAAGCTTTAAAATTGGGAAGCATGAGTCCTCCAACTTTCTTTAAGATTGCCTTGGCTACTCTGAGTCCCATCTGTTTCCATTATAATTTTAAGATGAGCTTATCTATTTCTGTAAAAAAGACAGCCAGAATGTTGAACCTCTAGATCAGTTTAGGGAGTATTATGTCTTAACAATATTACATCCTTCAATTTGTGAGCACAGGATGTCTTTTTTATTTAATTACTACCATGGTGTGGATGTGGTTTGTCTCCCAAGGGTTCATATATTAGAGGCTTGCTTCCCAGGGTGGTGTATTTGTGAAACCTTTGAGAGGTGAGGGCTAATGTGAGGTCCGTGGGTCATTGATTTCCCTGTCCTTAGAGGAGATAAAGGTATATTCTCATGGCGTCCTGAATTATTCTTACAAGAGCAAATTATTATAAAAGCGTGAGCTGGATCCCCAAGTTGTTCTCTGGCTTCCTACATAGAAATGTGATTGTTTGCTCCTATATGTGCTCCTGTCATTGCTGTTTACCATGATGTGAATTAGTTGTTGGAATCCTCACTAGAACTGAGCATGTTCTATGCCCTTGAACCTCCCAAACTATGAACTAAATAAACCTTTTTACTTTATAAGTTTATCTGCCTGAGGTATTTCATGATAGTAATGGAAAAATGTCTAACATAATTAGGTTTTCTTTGATTTCTTTCAATGGTGTTTTATACTTTTCAGTATAGAAATATTGCACTTATTTTATTGTTTATTCCTAAGTATTTTATTATTTCACCCTTATACATGGAATTGTTTTCTTAATTTTATTTTCTGATTGATTGTTCATTGCTTTATGTCTAGAAATATAACTGTTTTTGTATCTTGATATCATTTCTTGCAACCTTTTCAAACTTGTTCATTTGCTCTATTAGTTTTTGTGTATGTGTTTGTATTCCTTCGGATTTTCTATTATAAGATTATGGTATATGCAAATGGAGATGATCTTACTTATTCCTCTCTGATTTGAATGCTTTTGACTTATTTATTTTTCTTTACTCATGTTCCCTGACTAGAATCTATAATTACAATGTTGAATAGAAATGGTGAAAGTAAACATCCTCATCCTGTTCTTGAAAAGAAAACCTTTAGTCTATTCTCATTAAATAGAATGTTTGCTGTATGTTTTCACAGATGCCATTTATAAGCCTAGAAAATTCCCTTCTATTCTTAGATGGTTTAGTGTTTTTGTCATGAAAAAATGTTGGATTTTATATTTTTTTCTGCATCAATTGGAGAATCCTATATTTTTGTTCTTTTTGCTTATTAA